AAATCCTGAACCCTAAACCGTAAATCCTAAACCCTAAATCCTAAAACTTAGACCTATAGATGACAGTACGGTAGAATGCAGAACAACACAGGACCTGGAGGTCCTCTCCTACCACCACGAAGCATCGTTGGGATGGTCCATGTGAAGCCTAAAACCATAGTGGGTTTAGGGTTTCGGGTTTAAGATTTAGGGTTTAGGGTTTAGGGAAATATCTGCGAACTATACTATACTTTTACGATACAGTACTCTGCTATATACAGTACTGTGCTATATATACAGCACAATACTATACTATGCTGTGTTGTACTTTACCCTGCTATGCTGTGTTTCTCTATACCATGCTGTGCCATGCTTTTCTGGATTCCGCTATCGCGCTGTACTGTGCCATACGATAGGATAATGCACTACACTGTACGGTACCGTGCCATGCCATGCAATCATGGCATAGCATACCATACCGTACTATACCATACTAGACTAGACTAGACTGGACTAGACTATACTATAGCAAAGTCCACTGTAGCTTGATATAGTAGCAACAAAGTTCCGGATGAACAACACCAAGTAACACATACAAATCCGATCGTATGGCACAGCATGGTATATAACAACATAGCGAATTTCGCAGAGAGTACCATGCAGACTACCATATTATTCTCATCGTGACTCCAAAGATCCCAAAGCACAGCACAGATAAATATACCATGTTCCGGTACAGTAGAAGACTGTCTGCGATAGGGCAGTGCAATATAATACGAAGAAACATGTAACATAGCAACACATAAGTACTGTTATGGTACATATGAGACAGCATCAGCTAAACAAGCAAATGCGATACCGACATCAATGAACATCACATTAGATCGAGATGGCAGGGCTTAGCCCTTGACAGAAACGACCAAAAACAACTGGGTGATGCCGTAACCCTAAACCCTAAACCCTCAGCATTGCATTCGGAAAGCGGTCGTGCATGTGCGACAGATGGCCACGAAGTCCTGCGCGCTTAGGGCCTATTATCGGTTTTCGGGTTTAGGGTTAAGGTTTAGGGTTCAGGGTTTAGTGCTTTGGGCTCAGGGCCAAGGACCAGACAATGTGCGCAGCTGAAATAGAAGCTTCAGAAAGTCACTCTAATCTCTGTTGTGTTGAGGGCTGATCTTCACATACTATAACTTTTAGGCATGACATAGTAGAAGTGAGAAAAGAGGCACGATATGCTATAACTATACGCATGATCTACTATAAGCACAATATGGGGCACAACAGGCTATAACTATAATAAGGAAGCTTGCTGCAGATCTTGGGTTTTTTAGCTTCAACCCACGCTGTTTGCCCAGCCTTCTCGTTCTGCGGCTCCAGCGCAAGTTCTAGGCACTTGCCATCAATGACCATGCCTTCACCGCTGCAGGGCTTAGGGTCGATTCCTGCTGCTCGAATATAGGGGCCTTAATAATTAGAATAGGGTTTTGCGATGATGCGGGCGAAAGCCTGTCGACGAAGAGCGAAACAAAGGACGACGTATGCATCCTCAAAGAATGTGTCAATAGAATAGGGTTTTGCGGTATAGTAAACTATAGTTATAACAGTGAACACCCGAATTACCTTTGAAATTCTGTAAGCCCCTATGTTACTGAATTCGGGTTTATTATGGGGCAAAGGTGTGTCATTCTGTGAGACTGCGGCTTGCCATTACGGAAAGCGAGAGAAACTGAAGCCTGAAACCCGACCTCTGTCCGGTTGATATGATGTGTCATGAGAACTGCTGCTCATGCAGTGTCATGGCAGCAGTGCTATTGACCGACATAATCGCAGGACGCCAAAACCCTGAAAGCCTAAACCAGTAGCAGACAGCATCCGTCTGAACGGCCTTTCTTCTGCTTTGTATACCCCTAAACCCTAAACCCTAAACCCCAAACCCTAGACCCTAAACCCTGCCTAAACCCCTAAGCCGCAAAACCCCAAAAAACTAAACCCTAAAACCCTGAAGCCCTAAATCCTAAATCCTAAACCCCAAGCCACAAGAAACAAAGAGACGCCAACGAGGCCTTCGAGCATCTGCTTCCTCGGCTGAACTCACCGGATATGCCCAGCGAGTCAGGAAAAAAGCGTTTCACAGGAATATACCTTAAGTGAAGTAAAGTATAATATATATATATATATGTGTATCTATATATATGAATATATATATATATATTGTATGTATGTATGCATGCATGCATGCATGCATGCTGCATGTATGTATATGCATGTATGTAGGTACGTATGTATGTATGTGTATATATATGTATATATCAAGGAAGATACCATAATTCATGATGAGGGCCTGTATTGTGATGTAATGCATATTCCTTAATTAAGAGGTTCTGGAGTCTATGACTTAGGCTGACGTAGGGCTTGCTAGGGTTTCACAGAGGGCCACACGAACATAGTGGTTGAGAGTTTAGGGTCTAGATCTTCTTCAGGGATCGTTTCTGTCCGCCAGAGATCTGATCGGTTTACCCTAAACCCTAAACCCTAAACCCCTAAACCCCTAAACCCTAAGCCGGTGGATTAACAGGGGCCTTGAGGGCTTTGGGGTTTTTGGGTTAGGGCTTTTGCCTTCAAGGCGTGGGCCCGAAGATGGACCCTTCTGTGGGTTTAGGTTTCTATTTGGGGGTTAGGGTTCAGGGTTTAGGGTTTAGGCCCTAAGATATAGGGCTTCGTAGCTTTGCAGCTAGCAAAGAGGGGCCACAAAAATTCGCGCGGCAGCCGTGGCAACAGTAAGCCGTACAGACTCTCGAATCCATATTAAGCGCCTCAAGCACTAAACCCTAAACCCTTTAAACCCTGAACCCTAAACCCTAAACCCTAAACCCTAAACTCTAAACCCCAAACACAACGAACAGCTCGGGCCGAACCGTCGGACTCCTTGAATTTATCCTGATCATGAAGCTCGATCTCAGTACGGTGCACAAACCCAACATCCCAAAACCATCGTTTCTTAGGGTTTGGGGTTTAGGGAACTGTACGGAGCTTGGTTGCAATTTGGAGGAAGTGTGGGGACTCATGTTATAAACTAAGCTTCCGGTGAATATGGAGCGTTAAAGCTTGCATGGAACAACACCCAGGCTGCAAAATCCAAGCTGCTGTGCATAGGCGTGCCGCGCCTTTACAGGAGCAACAGCGAACGAGAAGACCCGTCAATGGAGGGGTCTGTATAGTCTACTCAGAGATGGGAATCGACGAGAGTAGTTCGTGTGTACGTATTTCTGTGTGTATACATGTGTACATATATACATATATACATATATATATATATACACGTATACATGTGTGCATGTGTGCATGTATGCATGTATGCATGTATGCATGTCTGTCTGTTTGTCTGTCTGTCTGTCTGTCTGTCTGTCTGTCTGTCTGTCTGTCTGTCTGTAAGTATGTATGTATGTAGCGTATGTATGTATGTATGTTCGTATGCATCTGCTTCTATCAACAGTGTATACAAATCATATTGTATGTATGTATGAATGTATGTATGTATGTAATGTATGTATGTATGTATGTATGTATGTATGTATGTATGTATGTATGTATGTATGTGCGTGCATATATATATATATATATATATACATATATATATATATAACATAGGTGTGTGTGTGTGGTCACAAAGCTCACATGTTCACATTCCTCTTTCTCATCGTCATCGTCATCCCATCGAGACATGTGTGTCAGCAGCACTTGCGGATGGTGGCCTCAGGCTTCCAGAACACCGTGGCCTTAACAACTAGAAAAGGTTTTGGGGTCCCTTATAAAGCCTAAACCTTAAACCTCAAACCTTCAACACTTATAATATATGTATAATAACAAGGAGCCCGAAGGGATACTGTTGGTAATGATTCCGACCCCTACATTACTTTCTTGGGCACTCGTCCATAGACCCCTCAAACCCAGAATGAGGTTAATGTTTCAATCACCCCATGGTGGTGATATTGAAATGGGGCTCAAACTGGGAATTGTTTGTTGAGGGTGTCGGGAATACATCCCTAAACCCTAAACCCTAAACCCTTAACCCCTAAACCCTAAACCCTACACCCTAAACAGCTTAAGGAGTTTATGGGTCAGGCTCGGAAGATCCGGGTTGCCTGACAAGGAGCTATGCGCTCAGTGCATGAGAAGGGGTGGTTCTCTGAATTAGAGTCCCATTTTAGGTCCCCACTATAGTACGGCACCCTTATAAAAAGGACCCCCAAAGGGACCCTAGTTTAGAAAACTACCCATATGCTAATGTAGGGTCCTTACTAAGTAGAACAGGGTTTTGGGGGCCATTATACTAGAACTATCATAACCAACCCCCCAAACAAGTATTGGAAATTCTTTAGACCCCTATATTAAATTTACTCAACTCTGTACAACAAGACGGAAAAGACTCCTTCACGGCTTGATGCCACTTAGATCCTAAACCCTAAACCCTGAACCCTAAACCCTTAAGGCTCACCCCAACCCGGCGGAAATCCCTAAGCACTCCGGGAATGAGTCCGGGATCTCCAAGCCTAGTAGAGAAGTCTGAGTACAGGGTTTAGGGTTTAGGGTTTAGGATTTCGGGTTTAGGGTTTAGGGTTTAGGATTTAGGATTTCGGGTTTAGGGTTTAGGGTTTAGGGTTTAGGGTTGAGTACCATTCACTTCAAGCCGCTATAAATGCTATATCTACCGTGTTAACCAACCCTAAGGGTCCAAGTACCTAATAATCATATACTCTTCTGAATACTAACCTACAAAACTACCGTCCCTAACCCTAAACCCTAAACCCTAAACCCTAAATCCTAAACCCTAAACCCTAAGGGTCTTTTGGACCCTTCGGGCACACCGTCCTCCCGACCCGTAGAATCTCCAAGCCTGCTCCGCCACCTCGTGCAGCTTCGCCTGCATGTCCTTGCTTAGGGCTTACAGGGTTTATGGGGTTAGACGGGCTTCATAGGGCTTATGGGGTTATACGGGCTTTATAGGCTTTATAGGGTTTATGGGGTTATACTGGCTTTTTAGGGCTTATAGGGTTTATGGGGTTATATATAGGGTTTATCGGGCCTGATAAGGTTATACAGGCTTTATAGGGTTTATCGGGCCTGATAATAAGGCTCATAGGGCTTATCGGCTCAGTATTTGGACCGCTGCCTATCCTTGGGTTAATGTAAGAGTTCGTTTGAACAGGGGGTACAAGCGTTCCATACAACTTGTTTTCGGAAAAGCAGGGTTGGGGCGGGGTATAGTCTACTACCATAGTTTTGTCCATTGTCGACCATCACGGAACAATATTGGCATTTATCTAGGCTTCTCCGTTCAAGAGTCACGAAAAGTTACGGAGTCTGGTTTTGGGTGTTACGGACTGTGGCCAGAGCACCCGGAGCTTGCGGACAGAAGTGCTTACAGGGCTTAGGGTTTAGAGGCTCAAGGGCTTCCAGGCTCAGACGGCTTAGTGTTTTGGGTGCAGGGCTCAGGACTCTAGTCTACCCATAGGCCCCATAGTAGTTCCTTTTTGGGATTCCCGAATAGGGTTCTATATATGAGCCGGCGTCAAAATT